ATGAAACACTAAATTACTGCAAATCTACTTTAGTGTCAATGAAAATTTCACCATTAAATAGGCAAGATGGTAAAAAAGAAAGTAAGTGATGGGATTATGTGGGTCAATTCTTTTAGGGTGGTATTTGGCATTGTTATTTCTAACCCAGAATGGAATTAAGGTAAAATTCAGGTAGAGGGAAAGAGAGGACTCACCAATCTCTCTTGTGCCAGGCTCTTCTACAGACACACTGATATGTAGCCCTCCTTCTCTCATCTCCAGGCAGCCTTATGGACTTTGTCTACTCTCACATAGGCCAAGCAGACCCAACACAGTGCTGATAATCTGCACTGACATCTTTGCCTCTCTCTGCCCTTCTCAGGAACTCATGAACCCAGTGAGACCAGAGCTTATTTTTGCATCTAAATGTCCCTAACAGCCAACACATCTATAGGCATGCAAAATTTCTCAGGAACAATAAATGATAGTTCCATTAACTTATCCTTTGCTTTCTGCTCTTAAGAGATAGAGCTGGCATTCAAATCAAGACATTCTGGCTTTGGAAACCACACTCTTAACCACTATTGACAGAACAGTTCCCACAGCATTTGACCTCAATGTGCAGTTTTTTTTATTGTTGTTGTTGTTTTTTGTTTTTTTTTTTAATGTAAGATAAAATTACTAGCCTTTACTTAGGCATTCAAACTCCTCTCCACAGTATGAAAGTTTTGAAAAAAAAAAGTTTTCTTTTTTTTAAAAAAATAAACAGAACTACTTTATGACACAGCAATTCTAATTCTGGGTATATATCCAAGGAAATCCAAAATGCTAATTTGAAAGAACATACACTCCCTTACCAGGATGTTCATTGCACATTATTTACAATAGACAAGCTATGGAAACATCCCAAGTGCCCATCAATAGACAAGTAGACAAAGAAGACATAGTACATATATAAAATGCAATATTACTTGGCCATAAAAAGTATGAAAGCTTACCATTTATGGGAACATGGATAAACATAAATGGTATTATGCTAAGTAAAATAAGTCAGAAAGCACAAGACAAATACCATATAATTTTACTTAAATGTGGAATTTAAAGAAAAATAAACAAACAAAACAGAAATAGACTCATAGATACAGTGAAAAAACTGAGGGTTTCTAGATAGGAGGGAGGTTGTAGGATAGGTGAAAAAGTAAAGTGATTATAAAGTACAAATTGGTGGATACAAAATAGTCACAGGGATATAAAGTACAGCATAGGGAATATAGTCTATAATATTATAATAACTATGTAGGGTGGCAGGTGTTACAATTATAGGGGGATAATGTTGTAAATTATATAATTGTCTAACTACTATTATATACACCTAAAACTAATATAAAATAATATTGAATGTCAACTATAATTAAAAAATTAAATTATAAAAACAACAATAATAAAAGTCCTCTCAGTGTTGCTCTGAACCTATTTTTCCAATCTTATTTCCCAATATTTATTCCTTTCAACATAGGTCATTCTCTTCACTGGTTTGAAACCCTTCATGTAAAAAATTCCCATAATCAGAAATGACATTATTTCTATAATGTTACCTACTTGCAAATCTCTATTAGCATGATTTTAAAAACTTGATTCAAAGGCTTACTGCTCCATAAAATCTTTTCCATTCTTGCCTCAGGATGTCCTTTCTTTATTCTGAATTCTCAAAGAACCTTGAACTTTAATCCGTCTCTTTCTATCTTGAGTTATGATTAAACACCCTAACACTGTGCCCATCCCTTTTTAGGCTATATTAATAAGCACCTTTAAAGTAACACTCTTGTTTGCCTGTTTCCATATGTCTCTAACATCTAGAAGGGTAACTAGCATCTAATAGGTACTTAATGTATGTTTTCTACATAAAGCGAACTTTTCTTGAATAATCCTGGCCTCAAGTCAAATTTTTTTCATTCTATCATTTACAAGAGAATACCCTCTGTTATTTTCCATCTGTCCAAAGATGATCTCCTCCATAAAACCTTTCTAAATATCTATCCTAAATCTTTGGTCATAATCTGGGTTGTGGTGATGGAAACGGAAATGTATAATAGGTCCAAACTCACCAAATTGCATACATTAAACATGTACAGTTTCTTAATACACCTCAATAAAGTTGGGGGAAAATCTTTTAGAAATAACAAAATGTATAGACCTGGAGCTTGGATTCTAATCCAGTCACAAAATTGACTAGTTATTGATATGGGCAGATTACTTAATATTCTTGTGTCTCAATTTCCTAGTATGGAAATAATAATGGCATTTACTTTACAGGGTTATACTTTTTCAATATGGATTAAATGAGTTGAGACAAAATACATAAAATAGTACTGCCATATCATAAGCATTTGATAAAAGTTCATCATCATTCTACACTTTTATCATGATTTATAAAGATCATTTGGTAATGATTACTTACAAATTAGTGATATATGTTTTATTTTTTATAAAATCTTAAATTTAAATCAAGTATTAATTAATTTAAGGGGCATATCTTGTTTTCTTTAACTATGGGATAACTGATTATTGAGCATATTTTACATTACAAGAACATAGCTAAGTGCTTTCTTATAAATATTTCGTTCAATGTGATAACAGTATAAGCTAACTAATATTTCCATATTAAAGATAAAGCAAAATAAAAACAAACATTTAGAGAGATTAGTAAGTTTTAAAATTGTCTAAGCTAGTAAGTAATAGAACTAGGATAGTTCTTTTTTAAAAAAAATATATTTTATTGATTTCTAACAGAGAGGAAGAGAGAGGGATAGAGAGTTATAAACATCGATGAGAGAGAATCACAGATCAGCTGCCTCTTGCACACCCCCTACTTAGGATGTGCCCGCAACCAAGGTACATGCCCCTGACCGGAATAGAACCCGGGTTCAGTCTGCAGGCCAACACTCTATCCACTAAGCCAAACCGTTTTCGGCATAACTAGGATAGTTCTTGAAGGCAAATATAATAGTTAATTTATATGTTCCTCAAAGTTCTTAACATATGTTTATTAACACATTTTTCCTTATTGCTATGTAGGTTTTGCTATGATATTTGAAGCATATAGACTTGGTATTATTACTTTTCATTTTTAATATACTCTAATAAAGAGAACATACTTTTAACATGCTTTTTTTAAAAAAAAAGTTTCTTATTTTAATATAAATCCTTCTTTCACATCAATGAGAAAAACATAATATACTTACACACATATACATATATATGTGTGTGTATAATATGCAAATTAGGAGGGGATGCCATAATGGGTCATGACCAGACAGGAGGAGGCTGCACACACAGGTGAGGCCTGGAGCAGAGACAGAGACCACAGTGGCTCAGGCAGCCCTGGAGTGGACACAGGCATGGGGGCTAGAGGACTCTGCAAGTCAGGCATGGGTTCTGGACCTTCACAAGGTGCCTCCTCGCACAGTGGGGGGTGGTGTGTCTCCTCGTGCAATTTTAATCGCGTGCTGGGCCTCTAGTATAGACTTACTTATTTAATTTTTTTACTGTTTTCCATGCCTTTGTGTTAATATATATCAATTTATATTTAGCTTTTAGCTATGTTATATTTATGTGGGTTGATGCTGTTTCCATATGATCTTACTAGTGTTGAAAGAAATGCCAGAAAACTTTTTCTACTTAATTTATCAAAGTGGATAATGGGGCTCAGACAGATGAGGAACATGGCAATATTGTTTAGTCAGAGAGGGACAGAACCTAAATTCTAAGTTCTCACTAATGTGCCCTTTTAGCTAAGCTATGCTACCTTCTGCTTACAAATAAATGTCATGATTTTCACATCCTAACACAGGCCACCTACTATGTGGTTTTGAACCTGTGCTTTCTGATTACCTTTTAATACATGTTCTCCAATAAGACGCAAATGGGAAGACATGCAAATTGGAAAAACTTGAAGAAGTACAAGCCCTATATTATGCATAGTGCAATTTCCCACCTCTGTGCCTTCCCAATGCCCCCAAATGTCTTTTCTCCACATGTACTTAAAGCAGCACTACTGAGAATGAGGTCAACGGATAGGTGTCTGACTAAGGAATGTTTGTCACCCTATGATGAGACAAATACAGTAAGTATTTAGAAAAAGTTACAGCAATTTAATGGTGTAATTTATCCCTGTTGAATCTGATAATGGTAAAACTTGGGTCTTCCATTTTTTTTTTTAATTTCACTTTCTTAGTAACTAATTTTACTGATACTTTGTAAAAAATACTGATCTCCAACAGACTGGGCAGGAGTCGTTTATTGTAAAAAAACCTGAGAGGCAAGCTTTAGGGTCCAGGTTCAAGTGCCACCAATTTTTCCATAAAGCATTCCTGATGTTCCTGATGAACAGACCTTTTAAATTTTTATAATATTTGACCTAAGCAAGCCTCTCTCATGTCTCTTATAATGATAGCTATGTTAGTAATTATTTGTGCTTTTTTTCTCTCTTCTGAATAATTACAACCTCTTGGGTGAAAAATTATGTGTCCATAACACCTCATAATTGGCATATAATTCATAAGTTCACATTAAATATATGGACAGATGGATTATTTTTTCATAAGTATTCACAGGCTTAGACAGAGAAAAATTAAAGAGTACATCCGTTTCTAAACTTGGATAGGGAAAGGAGTAGGAGCACAGAGTTCAGACTATGCCCATTTACACATTTTATATATTAATATTTATACCTGAATATACACAAAAGCCCTATTTCTACATAATAAAAGCTAATAAATGATCAAAAATTAAGTTTTAAATCAAACGTATCTCAAGAAACTCTGAAGTACCCCTGAGATTTTAGTACAAGCCAAACAAATAATCACATGGTAGGTGTCTCCCACAAAGCAAATTCCAGAACTCAGTTTTGTGCGTATGGATACCAACTCCTTTACCACTGGAGCTGATAATACTTCTTCTTACTAATTAAGGAAAATAGGAAAGGACATTTACTTCAGAAGTCAGCTCTGGGACCCACTCACCAAAGTATTCATCGGCAGGTGGATTTTCCATGTCATACAGCATCTTCTTGGTCAGGTGCTCCAGTTCATCTTCAGGGCGGAATGAAGGTGGACCAGCGGGAGGCCCCTTTGATCCTGCTTGTCCACTCTGTAAAGGAGAAAACACAAAGTCTTTTAAGTGCAACCTAGACATCAACCAAGACAATTTAGTCATGTTCGCGTTATAAAGAAAAGAGTATTGGATATGGCTATTAGGAGACCTGGGTTTTAGATATGGTTTTGTCAGTCTTGTGTCTGATGTTGGACACAGCATTTAATTACACATGCATCATCTATCAGGCTTTAGAAATCCATGTGTACAACAGACTCTACTTCATTCAACCATTGCTAGGAGTCACTATGTACCGGTTATATGTTTATCAAAATGATAGAAACATAGAGCCTCCATCTTATGGAGCTTATAGTGAAATAAAATGAGAGATAAAGACACATCAAAAATGAAAGATAAAGCAACTGTAGAAGGCATTTGTACTATCAGGGTACAAATGTCACCTCTCATACAGCCTGAGAAGAATTCCAGAGAAGATGTGGTGAAAGAATAGGACACATTCAGCTAAAAGAAGTTCCTCAGATTTAGGTGGCATAAGGAGCTCCTTGCACTGTGTATTTCTGAAATATTTATAATGTTTGAGATAGAAAATAAAACACATTATTGAATATAGGTGTCCAGAAGGTGAAGGGCCTGTGTTCCAGTCAAGGAGTTTGAATAATGTTTTTCTTTCCAGCACTACAATCAACTAGGTATCTAATGGGTAAGGTAAATCAGTAGCATTGACACTGGGCTGGTGTTTTACTCAATGGGTGAGCCAGGATTCTAGCAATATAACAGAATCAAGAGCCAGGTGAAAGACACTTCCAGTGACCAACTAAGAGTCCAAAGTAAGTGGAGAAAGGAAGACCAGATGCCAGATGTAAAATTGTTGTGTGCTGTGTAAGTAAAAGGGAATGTATTATATTTTCCTTTGCTATATGATGACTTGGACCATTCCCAATACACACTCCAACATCTTGAATCGAAGTGTTAAAAACAGAAAGATGGTTAGGATGATGATGTCCGCTATGGCTACTGAACAGAGATGAGAGTGGGGATGTTTTTCCTTTCTTAAAATGGTTGACCAAGAGTTTTTCCTGACATGAATAATTTATAAAAATTAACTTAACAAAACTTGCATATTCATTCACCAGTTATCTTCATTGTACTGAAAGATACACTGATGTGAAAATCCAATAAGTTATAAATCCACATACTAATGTTTTATTCTTACTACCAACATTTATTGCAACAACTCTAAGATGGGTATTAATTATTTGTGTGATATCTAAGCTATGAAATGCCTTTTAAATATAGGTAAAATTGTTAATTGTTACCTATTTGGCCTTTTCTCTATAATTATCATCCATTTTTAGGTTTTAAAAAAGGTATAGAAAGTCAGACGTGCAGAAGGCTGAAAATGCCAATATATTTTTTTTATTTTTTTATGTTTGTCTCTATCCTTACACCTGGAGTTTTATTTCACTGTTGGAGAATTTGGATTGGAGATACAAGGCAGTAAAAAAAACTATGACACAGGGCAAGTGACAGAGACCAAAACTAGAGCTACCTGCCAGCATCCTGAGAATCATTACCTCAGCCAAAACCGGTTTGGCTCAGTGGTAGAGCCTTGGTCTGCGGACTGAAAGGTGCCAGGTTTGATTCCGGTCAGGGGCATGTACATTGGTTGCGGGCACATCCCCAGTAAGGGGTGTGCAAGAGGCAGCTGGTCGATGTTTTTCTCTCATCGATGTTTCTAGCTCTCTATCTCTCTCCCTTCCTCTCTGTAAAAAATCAATAAAATATACTTTTTTGAAAAAAGAATCATTACCTCAAACTACTCATTGTGAGATAAGAAAATTCACACCCAAAAATGTAGGGTAGGACCAATTGTAATAAAGCCAGGACAAGATCCCATCTTAGAATCACTCATTTATTGAATAGATAATAATGTTAAACCTAGGGCCTCCTCTACAATGCAAACAATGCCTGTCCAATACAATTGGTGTAAGAATTAAAGGAGCTAATATTAATGGTGCCAGCTATTCTAATCTAAATCAACAACTATTAAAGAAAACTTGATAATTCTTGCTTCCTGGTGTAGGGTGAACCCTCATGGCATAGACACATTTCATCATAGTTTGAGCCTAATATCTGCTTTCCTTTACCTTAAAGGCAGCAAGAATGCTGTTTGTCTCTGTAAATCTAAGCAACTCAGATTTTCCCCTTAGCAGTTGTATTTCAAGTACAGCTTCAATTTCAAGGTACTTACCTTGTCGGCATTTCAAAGATTTTAAGAAAAACATATTATTAATTTTATTTGTCAAAAACTCCTTCCTATTTACTAGTGATACTGTTTCTGAAATAACACATTTAGAACGACTTTTTTTGTTTGTGGGTTTCTTTTTTCTTTCTTTCTCTTTTTTTTTTTTTTTTTTTTTTTGAGATTCTAATTTCATATAATGCTGATCTTGGTTTGCTGGTATTTCTTACCAAGAATGAATGATCTCAAGAGATCACCTCTTTCAATGTTTCTGAAAGTTATTTGGCTATAGAGCTCTCACTGACCACCCTCACCCCCAGCACCACCCAATGCATAATACTTAATCTAAGGACTGCATATTGATAAAAGGGTTCAGGGTTCATCATTTCCAGTTGCTTCTCACACGAAAGAGGATGTAGCCCAGGACTTTCTTCAGGTTTCAAGCCCCATAAGTAATCATTTAGAGTTTTGCTCACTGGGATAAAAAGACACCCCCCTCCTTTTATTTTATTTCTCTCAGTAGTGCTTTAAGACTCAATATGTCCTAAAAAATTAATAATTGTCATTTCTAATAAGTAGTCCCTAGCATTGCATCTGAGTAATAGACCATGCTTAAAAATGTGTGTGGTAGGGGGCAGGAAGGAGATGAGTTGCATCATTTTATTTTTTCAAAAGTAGAAGGGTGAATAGTATCAGCAGTCTATTCATTGTGGCATAATAATAATTCTTCATATTGTGTGCACATTTTCAAGATGCCCACCTTCACACACATGGAATCTACAACAGCTCATGTGATCTGTGGTCCCATTTTATGGATGAAAGAATTGAGGCTCAGAGAAGATAAGTGAACAACCCTGTGGGAAGTTCCACCACTGAAAACCAGTGAGCCCTGACTGAAACCAGGTGTGCTGAGTTTGTGTGTTTCTGCTACTCTGCAATGCCAGTCAGCGTTCCCATTATCTTCCTCTCCAGGTTCTTCTAACTGTATTAATCTGTAATAACTTGGATTTTTACCTACTGACTCAGTTAAGCAAAGGTATTTTCAGAGTGGAAGTTTACTGCTAAATAGAAACCATAGAACTTCAACACAAATATCAACAAAGCCTCTAGCCTTTTCTAAGAAAAAGACAGTCTTATAAGTATCAATATTAATCACTATTATGTGTGTTCTTTGCAATGCCTAAAGGGGAAAAAGATTACATGATCTACGGATGAGAGTTATTGAGAAATAGATTTCAGAGGCCTCCTTTAAAATTCCTTTAACACCTTTTCTAAGAAATTACAAAGTGCTAAGTACTATCATTATAAAGTGAAATTATTCAGGATTCCTGCTTCTGACAACTCACAGTTTGAGAGAGAGAGAGAGAGAGAGAGAGAGAGAGAGAGAGAGAGAGAGAGAGAGAGAGAGAGAGAGAGACATTAAAAAGGAAAAGAGAAAAATAGGCAATTACAATAAAGTGCAAATACTGAACACAGGTATGAATTCAGTGTTCTGAGATGGGAGAAAACTGTCAAAGAGCAGAAGCCCTCTTAGTTTGATCTTGGAGGATAAATTGGACTTCACCAGATATTGGAAGGAAGGAAGGAAGAAAGGAAGGGAGGAAGGAAAGAAGGGAGGGAAGGAAGGAGAAAAGGAGGGAAGGAAGAAGGGAGGAAAGATATTAACAAATATCTCAAACATTAAGGCATTGCAGTGATACCTTAAAAATGCTACCAGACATCATGGGATCTGTGAGTGATTTAATGGCTAATGTGCTCACTGAAGTCTGTTGCCTCTTCTTTCTGTGCACACACAGCTAGACTACATTAGGGGCAGCTATACGAGGTGCAAGAAGGAAGGTGCTGACCCTTTGGAGAGGTGCCAGCCACTGACTAGAGTCGCCTGTCTCAAACTGTTGCTTACAGAAGGAGACAGGACAGAAATATGTTAAAAGATTAATGGCTGAAAGTGGTTGAAAGTGATGGGACAGTGGTTTACATCCTATTTATCTTTTTCTATGTCTTCCTTCTTCTACAATGAAGATCTGATAGGAAAATGTTCACAATCTGCAACTGGTTCTTCTCTGCCCTGGTTCTTCTCTTCCTTAGAGCCCAGATAATTATCATTCCAGGGAGGGCTTCATATGAATATTTCAGCTAATTCTGGATCTAGGTGAAAGTAACTTATGAGAATGTGCAAAAATGAGGACTGTGCTGTTCAGACAGAACCGGGCTCAGGCTGGCCAGTGCAGCTGGGGTGGTGGGAGGCTCTCCTGCCTCCATGGCAGTTGGACATCTTCCTAGGGGTCCTAGACTGTGAGAGGGCACAGGCCAGACTGAACTCTCCTCACCTGCCAGCACCCCCTCTCCCCCGAGCCACTCCAGTGCACCAGGCCTCTAGTATTTAAAACTTCATAGTATTCTTACATAGGACAAGTACAGAGACCCATTTATCTCTATAATCTTAGCTTTGCCTTCAAATTGTCCCATAATTCTGATCTATTCCCCAAGCCTTATTATCTTTATATACAAAATGATGTTTGCAAAGATTCCTTTGATTCTATTCTATCATACTTTTATATCCATAATATGCAGGAAACATATCATTGTAGGTTTTTATAGTGAAAGCACAGATACTAATATCAAGGCCATTTTATAATCTATAAAAAGTCACACTGATGCCTAACCAGTTTGGCTCAAACTGAAGGGTCCCAGGTTTGATTTCGGTCAAGGGCATGTACCTTGGTTGTGGGCACATCCCAGTAGGGGGTGTGAAGAAGGCAGCTGATCATTGTCTCATCCATGTTTCTAACTC